GAGCGAGATCAACGGTCACATCATTGTCAACGATAGAGTAGTCTAGCACACTGCTAATTTCATTAATTGCTTCCCATTTTGTTCCAGCGACCGCTGGCAAGTCTATAATAAGGGAGATGCGCAAAGAGCAGACCGAAAGCCAGCAGAATGAAAAACAATGTCCTTGACAGATCCAGACAAGACGAGAGAAAGTGCGGTGCATCTTAACGTTGCGCTGCACCTGCATTTTTGAGCTCGAATACGAAGGTATAGAAACGAGCATAGCATGATTAAATGAGCGTGCATAAAAAAGTATTAAAAACTTTAATCTGAGATTTAAATCTAAAAAAAGAAAAGAAAATAATTAATCTTAAATGTATAAAAAAGGTCCTTGAGACTTGTCAATATTTAGTTTTTTATTCTCTTTTAAGTAATTTAAAAAGTATCATATTATATCCGTCTTACGACAGTGCTCAGTTTTTACAACAATTTGGAGAGATTATTTTCTATTTCGTTATGTGAGCTTCTTTTTCATAAAAAAAGCCATGGATATAAAAGTCAATATTAATTTTCATTTTCCGACTTTAATAATCTATTGATTCCGGAATATCAAAAGGAGATATAAGTAAACGAGATTTTATATATAATAAACTCGTGAAAATGTTAATGCTATACTAAAATAACGAAATTGTTTTTAATGTTCATTCAATCGCGGTTTGATGTGTTTTATCAGAAATAATAAATAAAGTAATACTTAATGTTGTTTATCGAACACTAAAGAGAAATATTGATAAAAATAAATTAAGAAAAACACGATACACTAACCAATAATATATATAGAAAAATATGTAATATAATATAATAAATGTAATATAATAATATCTAATATATGTAATATAATTTAATTTAATTAAAAAAATAAAATTTAATAGAGCGAGAACATGTTAACTACGTGGAATAACAAGGCGCGTGAAACACCTGTGCTTTAGTATGTAACACGTTTACAATCACAGACACGTAACAATAGAGGATATGCGACGACAACGGAAGAATAATAATATGTTGTGTAAAAAGAATGCAACTTTCGTGAAGACGCATCCGGTATGGATGAATCGACAACGAACACCACGTCGCACATATGCCACGCGTATTTACATGTATATTGCATATATATTACATAGTATGTGCGCGTGATAATGCACATTACACAGTTCTCACGATTATAATCGTGATCTTATGATTACTGATATTTATATAACGCAAACAATTTTGCGTTATATAAATATACAGGATACTTGAGAAGTGATCAGCTCCTCTTGCGAATAGATGAATCAAGAATCGAGAACAATGGCCATATTGTTGAGGCAGCGATAATCCTCAAACTGCTGATAATTAAAAATACAGGTGGCTTTAAAAAATAGTTTCGATGAGATAGCACAACGTATAGAGTACCCTTATCTGTCAATAACCATTTTCGTAACAAATGAGTTCGTCTTCTTCGTCTAAAACTTTATCGTAAAACAAGAATGTTGTCCGTTTGTATCGAGGAAGATATATCTGTTTCGTAATAATAATTATGAAAAACGTGTTATATAGACATAAAAAACAACTCACAAAATTTTTGCATTTTAAAATGTTCGTGTCATTACTATTATATATTTTTTTCAACACAAAAATAAAAAAGAATTATTAAAATAGATTATTCTATCATTAACTTGTCTCAAAATATATAAATAATTAAGGAGGAACTAGAACATTGTGCAAACACATTTTTAGCCTTTCAAAATATAAAATTAATAATTAATTTATGAGTTAAAGTAAAGATTCGCCCTGTAGAATATATATTAATCTTAAACTCGTAAATATTATCTTATATCGAACTAACTTTTTCATTCTTTACTTTATTTTAAGTCATAAATTAATTTTTAATTTTATACTTTGAAAGGCTAAAAGTGCTTTGCGCAATGTCAAATTCATGAATCTTGATATATATATTAGATTTATTAACTTTTGACGTAGCTGATCCGTCCAGTTTCTCCTTAAATTCTCGATTAAAATAAACCGAACATCAATTTTACATCTCAGAAAAAGAATCCTATATTTGTATATCCTTCTTTTACGTCCTTCTTTCTCTCTATGTTATGATATAATGTAATCAATTTCAACAGAAAATAACAAAATCACTTTGCCAGTACGCTGTAAAAAACTTCGAAGAAAAACAAAGACGATATAAATAAGATCGTAGATTACGCCTTCCTCGAGGATTGCGCGATACACATCGTTGTCGCAATTGCCGAAGTTGCAACATGGCTGTTGCAGTCTGAGTATCTGAAGAAAATGTATTGAAAATCTGAAATATTAACATTATATCGTGTAAGACTGAACACGTGTTTGTAAATTTAAAGCTCAGAATAAAAAAAAACGTAATCACGAATCTCTTATAAAAATAACAGCTGATTAATTACTGGAAAGAAGGTCAAAAACCTTTAAAACCTGCAAAGCTCTTTATCTTCCACAGTGTAAAATAATTGGAGATAATTATTTCAGTATTTTAAAAAATTATAAAGAGCATTATCCGTTATAAAAAATTGTTCAAGATAGAAATAGATAAAATAGGTGTAGCAATATCTTGAGGACTTTAAAAATATTGGATTACAAAAACTATTGTAATATATTTAATGGATATGAATGAAAAAATTAAAATGATAAGAAAGATCTTGTTGCATAAGAAGAAGATAATCTTCTTCTGATTTTAATCCTTTTACGATGTACTATTATATGATACAGATATATGATCTACATAATGGATCCCGTTTAAAATTATCTACGATAAAAATTACAAGTGGATCAATGTAAAATGAAATATTTTAGATCCCTGTCGAGTGTTAACGCGTGGTTATTTCGGTGCGATACACGGCCACACAAAATTTTTCATCTTATTAAGAGCGCCTCGTAAATATCACGGTTAGAATTAACGAGCCTCATTCGTGAACGCAGAATCTTTGTCGTTTCTTTGTGATGATCAACAAGTCGAATGAGTCACATTCGACATCAAGTTCGATGACCGACAAGTTTATTCCTCATTCGAAGTCGAACAATATAAGCGTAAAATTCATGCAGGTTCGAAGACATATGATCAACGACGAACGCAAATAAATTCGCTCGTTATCGCAGAAATTTCTACTCGTATATGAATGTCAAGCAACTCTTTCAAATACGAGGAAAATTGGCCTTAAAATTGATTTCAAAATCGTTCTCCTTTCAACTTAAATTTCAAACGATATGATGAAATAAGTTGCAGATAAGAATTTCTTTCTGTTACTAACGATATCGATTAATCTTATGGAAAACATGACTGTTTGTCGTAATATTACGAATTAAAGAGAACAAAAATGGCAAGTTAGTATAGAAAGTATGTAGTGGTAAAAAGTTATTAATATCAGTGACATCAATGATATGACCAACACATTGCTCGATATCGATATGATTCCGAGTAATTTAGTAGAGATGAGAAACTTTAAAAGCGCATTGTGCACACACACACACACACACACACACACACACACACACACACACACACACACACAACTCGATGGAACAAAAAGATGACACACACACACACACACACACACACACACACACACACACACACACACACACACACACACACACACACACACACACACACACACACACACACACACACACACACACACACACACACACACACACACACACACACACACACACACACACACACACACACACACACACACACACACACACACACACACACACACACACACACACACACACACACACACACACACACACACACACACACACACACACACACACACACACACACACACACACACACACACACACACACACACACACACACACACACACACACACACACACACACACACACACACACACACACACACACACACACACACACACACACACACACACACACACACACACACACACACACACACACACACACACACACACACACACACACACACACACACACACACACACACACACACACACACACACACACACACACACACACACACACACACACACACACACACACACACACACACACACACACACACACACACACACACACACACACACACACACACACACACACACACACACACACACACACACACACACACACACACACACACACACACACACACACACACACACACACACACAACTC